CTAGTTAGTACTTACACCAGCTCATCAACCCTTTGGCTTTGATTTTGAAGTGCATTCTTATCCCTAGAATCTGGCAAGTACTCATGAAGTTTGTTTACTAGGAAATAGAAAAGGTCACTGGTCTGTAAAAGCAAGTGGGAAAAAAAGAGAGTAATTAAGGTATCTGTTGTTAAAATTCTCTACTCTCATGTACTAAAAATATGAAGAAATAATTTGTTCTTTGATTAGAGAAATGAATTACAATATCTCCCATTAATACTAGCATAACCCAAATTGGAAACATACTTCTTACTTACAACCAAGAGACCACTGTCCTGGTGACCAGAGCAAGGGCTACAGGGCAATGCTGGGAGATGCAACTTAGGCCTGGCTTGACAATTAACCTTGAAAATCATCCCGAAGCAGGTGTGTCATCTCAGGCAACTCATTCAGTCACCTTGAAAAATGGGGCTCCTATAATTTCTGCCTTTCCAAAGTAATTTGGCCTTTGTGAGGATATAAAGAATAAGCAAGCTCTCGTTTTAAAATGTTTACTAACACAAAAACAAATGTACAGCACTACGCTACGTTATGGAAATGGTGCAGAACAATATTGATTCTTCTGGTAATACAGTGGAAATGTAGATTGCCATTTCTGTCCAAACAAACACTGACTTAGAGCTGGGGAACACATTTTTTGTGTGTTCCTGTCCAGTCTCATGAGAAATTGAGCATGAAAATAAGCGCTGGCCCATGAAATCAGGCAAGTCGGCATTAATGAGAAATGTAATGTAATTGCTTTTCTTTTCTATTCCTCTATTGTTCATTTTTTCCCCAGGATTTTGGTTTACTAGTGACAATTTAGGCTTTTTGTTTAGAAAGTGTGCATGTCCCCTTATTCAGGTAATATGGCATGAGAAGAGGCTGGGAATGGCTTGGAGAAAGGAAAAAGAGGAAGAGAAGCAGGATGTATACCAGATGCTCTTAGAAGTGCTTGGGCTTTGAAAGAAGGAAGGACTTGGCCGGACGTGGTGGCTCATGCCTGTCAGCCCAGCACTTTGGGAAGCCGAGGTGGGCAGATAACTTGAGGTCAGGAGTTCTAGATCAGCCTGGACAACATGGCAAAACTCTATCTCTACTAAAAATACAAAAATTAGCTGGGTTTGGTAGCATGCGCCTGTAATCCCTAATCCTAGCTACTTGGGAGACTGAGACAGGAAAATCACTTGAACCTGGGAGGTAGAGGTTGCAGTGAGCTGGGATTGCGCCACTGCACTCCAGACTAGGCAAGAGTGAGTGAGACTCCGTCAAAAAAAAAAAAAAAAGAAGAAGAAGAAGAAGAAGTGCTTGGGCTTACCCAGTGCCTGATAAATTAGCATAGTGTGGCAGTTTTACAGACTGACCCTGGAGCTATATTCTTTGAGCTCAAATCCCAGCTCTGCCACTTGGCAGTTGTGTGACATTTGGCAAATTACTTACACTCCCTGTCACTCAGTTTCTTCATCTTTCAAATGGCGTTAATAATATCACCTCAAGGAGTTGATATTACATTTAAATAAGATAGTATGTATTTGTAAAGTTTCAACAGTGCTTAGCACATAACAAGTGTTCAATAAGTATCACTTGTTATTATGACCTCCCACCTGCTCACTGATTCAAGAATTTTCATTTATAAAATATCATACCTAAAACAACATGGCAAAATCTCAGAAATATTATGCCAAAAGAAGCCAAATGCAAAAGAGTACTTAGTGTAGAATTCCATGTAAGTGCAATGCTAAGAGAGGCAAAATGAATCTACAGTGACAGAAAGCACATCGATAGTTGCACGAGGCCAGGAGTGTGAGAGAACTGGCGGCCAAAGAGCACAAGGTGACATTCTGGAGTGACAGAGACACTCTAAATCTTGATTGAAGTAGTGTTAATAGTTACATGAATAGAGACATTTGTCAAGACTCTTCAAACTGTATCTTTAAATATGGGTGCATTTTATTTCATGTAAATTATACCACAATAATTTCTTCAAAGAAGATAGTTGAATGGCCAATAAGCACATGAAAGATGCTCAACATCACTAATCACTAGGGAAATGCAACTCAAAACTACAATGAGATATTATCTCACACCCATTAGGATAGCTACTATTTAAAAAAAACACAAAATAACAAGTGTTGGCAAGGATGTGGAGGAATCAACCCTTATATACTATTGGTGGGAGTAGAAAATAGCACAGACACTGGAAACCAGTATGGTGGTTCCTCAAAAATTTAAATATAGAATTACCATCCAATCTAGCAATTCCATTTCTGGGTAAATACCCAAAAGAATTGAAAGCACCGTCTTAAAGAGATATATTGCATACCAATGTTCAGAGCTGCATTACTCACAACATCTAAAACATGGAAGCAACCCACGTGTCCATTGACAGATGAATGGATAAGGAAAATGTAGTATATACATACAATGGAATATTATCCAGCCTTAAAAAAAAAAAAAAAAAAAGTCGGATACATTCTACAGCATGGATTAAACTTGAGAACATTGCACTAGGTGAAATCTCAGTCACAAAAAGACAAATACTATATCATTTCAACTATATGAGGTACGTAGAATAGTCAAAATCACAAAGACAGAAAATAGAATGGTGGTTTCCAGGGGCTGTGGGTTGCGGGGGTGGGATGGGGAAAGAAATGGAAAGTTGTTGCTTAATGGGTAGAGAGTTTCAGTTTTGTAAGATGAAAAGTGTTCTGGAGATGATCGTGTTGATGGCTGCACAATATTGTGAATAAACTTGATACCACTGAAATGTATGCTCAAAAATGATTAAGGAAGTAAATTTTGTGTTATGTATATTTTGACACAATTTTTTAAAATGGAAAAAAAATCATATGAAGAAAAAAAAAATTTTTTTTTTGAGATGGAGTCTTGCTCTGACGCCCAGGCTGGAGTGCAGTGGCACAGTCTTGGCTCACTGCAACCTCCACCCCCAGGGTTCAAGCGATTCTCCTGCCTCAGTCTCCCAAGTAGCTGGGATGACAGGTGCATGCCACCACGCCTAGCTAATTTTTGTATTTTTAGTAAAGACTGGGTTTCACCATGCTGACCAGGCTGGTCTTGAACTCCTGACCTTAGTTAGGTGATCCACTTGCCTCGGCCTCCCAGTGTGCTGGGATTACAGGCATGAGCCACCGTGCCCAGTGGAAAAAATTTAAACTAGAAAAAGAACATATTTTATCTACTCATTTATTCATTCACTGAATGCATAATTACTAATTGCCAGCTATGTGGCAGGTATGCTAGATAATGAGATAACATCTTGAGCAAAACAGACAGACATGTGTCTGTTCTTCTAAAACCTGGGAGTTTAGTCAATCTATGAAAAAGTGTTCTCGGCCTGTAATTTCACGCCTGTAATTCCAGCACTTTGGGAGGTCAAGGCAGGCGGATCACTTGAGTCCAAAAGTTCAAGACCAGCCTGGGCAACATGGTGAAATCTCTACAAAAAATACAAAAATTAGCCCAGCATGGTGGCATGTGCCTGTAGTCTCAGCTACTTGGGAAGTACTCAGCTACTCAGCTACTTGAGCCCAGGAGGCGGAGGTTGCAGTGAGCCGAGATGGTGCCACTGCACTTCAGTCTAGGTGACAGGGTGAGATCCTATCTCAAAAAAAAATGAAAACGTATTCTCATAAATTATACCTTCAATAAAATTAAAAAATAAAGACCACTTAAAAGAAAAAAGTGGCCGGGCGCGGTGGCTCAAGCCTGTAATCCCAGCACTTTGGGAGGCCAAGACGGGCGGATCACGAGGTCAGGAGATCGAGACCATCCTGGCTAACACAGTGAAACCCCGTCTCTACTAAAAAAATATAAAAAACTAGCCGGGCGAGGTGGCGGGCGCCTGTAGTCCCAGCTACTCGGGAGGCTGAGGCAGGAGAATGACGTAAACCCGGGAGGCGGAGCTTGCAGTGAGCTGAGATCCGGCCACTGTACTCCAGCCCGGGCGACAGAGTGAGACTCCGTCTCAAAAAAAAAAAAAAAAAAAAAAAGAAAAAAGTATGCCTTAATAAAGTTCATTTTAAAAGGGAGGGAAAAAACTGTATAATATATATTTTTATATCTATAATATATATCACTCTATATTACAGCATATCTATAATTTTATATCCATAAAATGTATATTATATATGTGTATAATTTTCCATCCTATTACAGGAACCAAAAATTAGAGATGCCTGTGACAGTTAATTTTAGGTGTAAACTTGGCTAAATTAGGAGTACCTAGAAAACTGGTAAAGCATTATTTCTGTTATGTCTGTGAAGGTATTTCCAGAGGAGACTGGCATGTGAGTTGGAGAACTGAGTGGTTCTGTCTCTCTGGAGAATCCTAATACAGATTTTGGTACCAGAAGTGGAATTGTTGCTCTAAGGAATACTTAAAAATGTGGAAGTGGCTTTGGAATTGGTTAATGGATAGAGGCTCGAAGAATTTGGAGGAGCAACCTAGAAAAAGCCTAGACTGCAGTAATTGGAGCATTAAAAGTGATGCTGGTGGGGGTTCAGAGAAAGAGGACAGCTGTAGGGAAAGTCTGAAACTTCTTAGACATTTCTTAAGCAAAAGAGTGAAAGATTATTCTCCAGCTTTAAGACAATATTATTTTCCCTGTTGGGTTTTGGACTTACTTGGCCCTTTCCTCTTGCTTATAGCTTCCTTTGGAATGGGAATGTGTATCCTCCACGCATCCCAACACTGTATTTTGTAAGTAGATAACTTGTCTTGATTTACAGGCTGACAACTGGAGAGGAATTTGCCTTAGGATGAATCCTGCCTTGAGTCTCAACCATACTTGATTTAGATGACAATTGGTAATTTGGACTTAAGAGTTGATGCTGGAATGAATTAAGATTTTTGGAGCTATTGGGATGGAATGAATGTATTTTGTATGTAAAAAAGACATGAATGTTTGGGGACAAGAGCAGAACGCTGTGGTTTGAATGTGGCCCCCAAAGTTCATGTTTTAGAAACTCATCCCCAATGCAACAATGTTGAGAGGTGAGACCTTTAAGAGGTTGATTAGGTCATAAGGCTTCTGCCCTCACAAATAGATTAATGTCATTATTGTGGGAGTGGGTTTCTGATGAA